CTCTGGAACAATGTCAAGGTTTTTGACATGTTGAGTTTTCACGTTCGTTGGTGTTGCAGGATTAGTTTTCACCACATCTTGCTGAAGTTTGAATGACGCCATCGCCTGGGACTTGCTACGTGTCACAGGGCCCGTCTAGGTACTTCCATCGCTTAATTTGGTCTTCGTGCCACTTTTCATAGTGGCTTTAGCGTCGACCTTTGCAATAGCGATGTTCTTTTGGGCTTTCTTGTCTGTCTGAATCTTAGGGGGAGCCATAGAATCTGATAGAGAAGAAACTTGATGGTAGGAGAAAGAGATGAGAGGCAAAGGTTGTCCCACCGGGCGTGCCACAAATTTGTACACATAAATTTTGTAAGTCTACAATAGAAACAAAATATGGAGCAAAATAGAATTTTATTAATATATGAATGTGGAGTACAGTCCTTTGTAATATCTTTTACAAAAAAAGAATGGTCCTCTGATTCGATCTCCTTGTTTTTGGTTGGTTGGATCCAAGGGCTGCACGAGCTTGTTCTTGAATCACTGTGGAATTTGATGAAGAACGGCACGTTGTTGGATGTGCTTGAAATTCTTCGCTTTTGGGTTTCGATTCTGAATTTGTGTCTGAATTCTGAGTCTCTGGATTTCTGAGTCTCTGAACTTCTGAATTCTGAATTTGTGTATGAATTTGTAGACTTCTGAATTCTGAATCCTCTCCCCTTTTTCTTCCTCTAAGCCTCTATTTATAGACTTCTTGGATTAATAGGATGATAACACGTGTCATCTCCTGATAAGGATAAAACTATAACTGGGCCGGGCCGGTTATATTGTGATAATTATCCTTAAAGATAATTATTCAAAATATATTTTATTAGGAATAATTATCGTTTCATTTAATTATCTGGGCTGGGCTAATTAAATAATTTAAGTGGACCAAGCCTGGTAAATTAAATAATTTATTTAAACATTAGGCATATATTTAATGGGTCCATTCGTTAAAACCAAAGCCCACTAAATTTTAGTGTCTACAGTGAGGAATTGTCTTGAATTTAGGCTCGCTTCAGACCATCAATAACCTTAATTATTTCATTATGACAAGTAGACTTAACAAATAAACCTGAATAACATTTTCCTTTTAATTTTGATGAAAAGACCATTTGAGGCTGACTTGGGGAGGAAGAAACAAACCAAATTACATTGTCGTTCTTGTTCCAAGACTGCAGCAAATCAAGCCCATTTTAATATTAAAAAAGACCATTTGAGACTGACCTCCATCGAGAGGAAGAATCAAATTAACCAAAACCCCAAGAGAAGATGTTGAACAAAACTTTCGCACTATTGACCGAAATTTAAGATTTGCTTCATTTTTTCTTTTACGTATTTTAAATTTAAAATAAAAAAATACATGTCACTGTGTCCTTGTGTTATATTTGTTAGAAAAGTGTGAATAAAACTTGCTTACAACATATTCATCATTTTAGAACTGTAATATGAATATGGCTTTGGATGTTCATGTATATGACGTTAACTATAACGTAAATATCAACGGTTTCAATGTGAATATCCAAGAGTCTTTCAACTATTCATGTATTATGTTGTATGGATGTATTTTTGAGTCAGAGAGATTATTCTACAGGGGTGGTTCGTCGTATCCACGGGTTTGAAATACTGTTACTGGTAGATGAGACTTTTGTAACTTGGGAGACAAGCGCCATGGAGACCGTTAGCGTAAATTGTCTTAAGGACATAGTATCAAATACTAGCCCCAGTTTAGGTTCTTTATTTATTATTATTATTTTATTGTTTTAATTTGCATGTTTAATTAAATATATAGTTGCATACTTAATTAATTATTCTTAAGCATATTATTAATTATCTCATGGTATATTAGTATAAAGTTTGTTATATCTTAAATGTCACATGAAGTATATATATTTTTTAACAATCTTAAGACAATTTATTTCGTGCTTTGTTTTATTATATGCTTTTATTTAAGATATAAGCAAGTAAAGATTATACTAATTGTTGAAGAAAAATTCCACTGTGACCGAAAACCTGCAAGAAAAGGTCAAAGGAGATTGAGGTACTTGGCGTAGTCTGTGGGAACCGATAATGGTTTTTCAATTGTGATCTAGAACACAAGTTGGAGGTCAGCACTAACTGCGCCATAACGGCGATCATCAGTTGCACCATGACGATGATTATTAGTTGCACCATGGTGGCGATCATTAATCGCACCCACACAACGATCAATCGCACCATGATGGCAATCATCAGCCACACCATGATGGTGGTTACCAATCCCTCTAGTTACAGTAGGATAGCGATCACCGCTCTCACTATGGGGCGGCCGTGCAATCCAGCCTCATCACTAGGGAGATTAATCCGCGGGCAGAGGTGAATAGTCAGTGCATGCTTTTTATCATGTGAACGTGCCTAGGCATGCTCCAAGGAATTAAGAACATGTCGCAGCGTTGGAGTAACATATTTATAACCTTAGCCAAGGAATGAATCAATTGGTCCAACAAAATGCGGCAATCATGCAACGTCTGGTTGTCCTTCCTCTACCTGTCAAAGGTAATGACGATAATGATAGGATAGAGCATGGCCAAACGGGATTTTGACGAAGCGAGCGACACACTCTAACACCCTATTCCTGACAATAAGATATGTCCTATGATGGGTGTAATGACCCACTCCACCACATGGTTTGATATTGTCTGCTTTGGGCCTGAGCTCGTATGGTTTTGATATGACCCTGTGGGCGGGTGTGCCATGAGCGGGTGCAAGAGACACTGTCAAGCTACCACACTAGCGAGCTACGGGTGCACAAGTCTCACATCGCTTGGGTAGAGGAAAGGTGAAGTGCTTAAATGTAAGTGTGTCATCTCCAATTGGTATGAGGCCCAAAGCGGACAATATCATACTATGTGGTGGAGTGGGTTGTTACACTGAGCCCGTACGGTTTTACTCTTGGGCTTTACCCCAAAAAGCCTCATACCAATTGAAAATGACACACTTCCATATGAGCATTTCACCTTTTCTCTATCTAGGCGATGTGGGACTTGTGCACCCATAACTCGCCAGTGTGGTAGCCTGACAGTGTCTCTCACACCCGCTCACGGCACACCCGCCCACAGGGTCATCACAATCCACCCCCTTTGGAGGCCCGACATCCTCGCCGGCACACTTCTGGCTGGGTCAGGCTCTGATACCATTTGCAGCGACCCACTCCACCACATGGTATGATATTGTCTACTTTGGGCCTGAGCCCGCACGATTTTGCTCTTAAACTTTACCCTAAAAGGCCTTATACCAATTGGAGATGACACACTTACATATAAGCACTTCACCTTTCCTCTACCTAAGTGATGTAGGACTTGTGCACCCGTAGCTCGCTAGTGTGGTAGCCTGACAGTGTCTCTCACACCCGCCCACGGCACACCCGCCCACAGGGTCATCACAATCCACCTCCCTTGGAGGCCCGACGTCCTCGTCAGCACACTTCCGGCTGGGTCAGGCTCTGATACCATTTGTAACGACCCACTCCACTACATGGTATGATATTGTCCACTTTGGGCCTAAGGCCTCATATCAATTGGAGATGACACACTTACATATAAACATTGTCAGGCTACCACACTGGCGAACTACGGGTGCACAAGTCCCACATCGCCTAGGTAGAGGAAAGGTGAATTGCTTATATGTAAGTGTGTCATCTCCAATTGGTCTTAGGCCCAAAGCGGACAATATCATACCATGTGGTGGAGTGGGTCGTTAAAATGGTATCAGAGCCTAACCCAGCTGGAAGTGTGCCTACGAGGACGTCGGGCCTCCAAAAGGGGTGGATTGTGATGACCCAGTGGGCGAGTGTGCCGTGGGCGGGTACGAGAGACACTGTCAGGCTACCACACTGGCGAGCTATGGGTGCACAAGTCCCACATCGCCTGGGTAGAGGAAAGGTGAAGTGCTTATATGTAAGTGTGTCATCTCCAATTGGTATGAAGCCTTTTGGGGTAAAACCTAAGAGCAAAACCGACGGGCTCAGGCCCAAAGCGGACAATATCATACCATATGGTGGAGTGGGTCGTTACAATGGGGAATGCACCGAGGCCACCTATGTGCACCAACAGATCCAAGACCTAAAGTTGAGGGTGAATGATATGGCTCAAACACTAAAAGGCAAAGGCACGACTGCGGTAGATGACATGGTGCACAAGGCTGACTCGCTTTCCACTCACGAGATCATGAGACTCCCGTTGCCACGGAAGTTCAAGATGCCACATCTTGAGAGTTTCAATGAAATAATTCACCATTGAAATGACTTTTGATCTTTTCATTTATCGTCAAGTACTAACTTAACCGTCAGAGGGTACCCGGCCGGCACTATGCCAGTCGTCACTTTTTCTTCTCTTGCAAGAATGGCCCTGACTACGAACTGTGCAGATTTTTTGCATCAACACTAATAATTGAGATATAAGAAAATAATGCTATAAGTATTATTACATAACAATATGCTAAATATTAATGATGTGTTCAATATTATGTGAAATTGAAGCATTTATAATTTCCAACAATATTAATATCAATGTTTTGGTAGAGATTCCTCCTCACCGGGAGGAGGTAAGTAAAATGCACTTCAATGTCCCAAGGAAAAATATGATTATTTACTTTCCACCTACGACATTTCTATTTACATTACAACAAATTAATGATTTACCAGCGCGTTGTTAAAGAGCACTGGTGTTGTGTACTAATTACCAGCGTTCATATAGGAGCGCTGGTGTAGGTACGTTTTTGCCAGCACTTGCTAAAAAAGCGCTGGTATAGGTATGTTTTTGCCAGCGCTGGTATAGGTACGTTTTTACCGGCGCTTGCTAAAAAAGCGCTGGTGTTTTTACCAGCGCTTATCGAAAAAGCGCCAATAAGTGTGAAATTTAGTGCGAGAAATTTCGCGCTCTAACGTTATTTCACTTTTTTATTTCCTTAATTTTCTATTTATTTCTAACCTTATCTCATCCGAGCCCTAGGTTTTCTCTTCAGCCTCCCCAATCGCCTCCATCTCTATTCTCGGTCTCAACTCTGAACTTGCCCCTCTCTCTGTAACTCCCCAATCGTGCGCCTCTATCTCTATTCTCATTCTCAACTCTGAACTTGCCCTCTCTCTCTCTGACTCCTCAATCGCCTTCATCTCTATTCTCATTCTCAACTCTGAACTTGCGCCCTCTCTATCTCTGCAACTCCCTAATTGCCTCCATCTCTATTCTCTTTTCTCAACTTTGAACTTGCCCCTTCTCTCTCTCTGCAACTGCTAACTAGAAAATCTACAAGAATCGGAAGTTTAAAACCATATATTTCAGTTTATTTTGTCTGTCTACAAGAATCAAAAGTTCAAAACCTATTGCACCACAGCCACCACCATCACTCCACCCCATATCATCACACCACCTTGAGGCCAACCCCTCTCTCTCTGTTCGAGCTCTCTGCTATGGGTTTTTCGGTGAGATCTCTGGCCAAACCTTGGCCTCTCACTCTCCGGCCGACCCTTGGCCAAGGAGATAACATTCTCATCTCGCCGCCATCCACCGCTGCAATTTTCGGTCATCTTCTCTGGTGAATCTCAGGCCGTCATCTCATCGTTCTCAGGTTGGTCTCTCTCTCGGATTTTTCTCTTCATTCCTTTGCTCTTCTCTCTATCTTTCGGGTAAGCATTTTTTTCCTGTCATTCATATAAATATATATATGAGTTCATGTTTGAAATTTTTTGAAGGAAGGGTTAATTAAACTGTTTTGGAGATTTTTGGAATTTTATTTTGAAATGGGAATTCGGGATTTTAGTTATATGAGATTTTATATATGTTTTGCCATGTTACAAATATTGTGAAGCATGAAACTGTGATTATGAAGACTGAAAAAATTGAGAAATCACTGTGAACCTGTATTTGATCATTGGGACTGCGATTTAAAGAATACTTTGATATATATTTTGTGATGTTGAAAAAGGAGGATGGTTAGTGATGATGGGCTGTGTTTGAAAATTATTTCTGAAAATTTTGTGAAGGGCTGTGTCCCTAACTTTGGAGATTTGAAGTTCCAAATTTATCTGTGTTGTCATAATAAATTTTTGTGAAGCATGCTCTATGTTTTGATATATTTCTATGTTTTGAGTTTCAAATTTTTGTGGAGGCTACAACCTTGATGACGCATATGTATTGTGTGTGTTGAAAATTTGAAAACTCTGTTTTGATATGCATATATAGTCTGTATTTCCAATTTCCAATAAGGCTGTGAACTGTGGCTATGGAACTGTAATTGTGAAACTGTGATTGGTCGTCAAGTTGGAAAGTTTGATCTAGTTCATGTGGAGTAGTGCAGGATAAACTAAGATTTTGCGGATCAATTGAGATGTCACAGATGAGCGATTAACTAATGTACAAGGAACATGGATTAGCTCTATTGCTGACTATTTTACTATCATTTGTTTGAAAGAAGGATAGACCATTAAATTGAATGCGACTAATTTTAGACCTTTGATTGATTTGCTGCACCTTCCTCTTTTTTTTTTTTTTCTCTCTAATTGCACGTTTTCTTGCAACAACACAATGTTATTCCTAATTTTGTGCACAGGTGAATGATGGGAGGAGCATCAATCCATCTGAGCTGCAAGAGAAGTTGACCGACTTAGTCATCCGGACTTCAAGTTAGATCCCCTTTTAATTTTTGTTTCTCTGATGTTTTTGTTTTCAAACTAGAATGGGGCTTTGAGTTGGATTTTGAAGTGTGAACTTGTGGTGCTTGTGGGGGCTACTTTATACTCTTGGGAAGTTTGTTGTCTATATTTTTGTAAGTCTTCCTTCCTTACATTCCAGATAGTAGTTAAGATAGTGTAGTGACTGTTCTTATACCTAGGAAAATTATTTCATGTTAGGATTGTTGATTGAGACAACATGCATTAATTCTGTTTTTCATGTGTTTTTCTATTTCTCCAGTGTTATGACTCTTAGTTAAAACACATATTCCATTAAATTTTTGATTTGGCTCTATCTTATTATCCTTATTCCTTAATGTTGTACAGATAGAAGCTAGTGATATTTAATTTGCTCACCTTTTATTCATGTAATATAAATCATATTGAACTTTTTTTTGGCAGTTAACTGAGTAAACTATTTCAACAACTACAAATTTTATTTCATTTTCCAAAAATGACATCATCAATAATTTGCCTCTTCCATTTCTGTTTTGATTCCCAGCTAGCTTAATTTAATTACCTTTTTTCCCTCTCCAAGCCAAAATATATGAACTTAATAGATTATTAATACAAAATTTTGCGTACTCACTGGCAGGGGATAGTCTTGGTTTTACATGTTGGAAGAAATCACTTTTCTGAAAAGTGTCTTCATCAACATCTCCTGGCCTACCATTCCTTGTTCATGCACAACATGGAAGTGAATGAAAGCACTATTTGTCTTTATGTTCATATTTCCATCAAGTTATTTTCTATTAACAACTTAATACTACTTATTCTATCTTGATTCATATTGTCCCTTCAAAGAATTCAGGAAAAAACTATAAAGAAAAAAAAAAATGTTGCCTTAAAGTTACTTGTCATAAATGTACATAGTAATGGTGGATTAGTTTCGCATACAATCTGATAAGCTTGTGGGTGGCAGGTGAATCTGTCCCACACCCGGCTCTGAACTTGGAGAGCTTTCACTGCATCACCATAATGGAAGCCGTTAACAACGGCAAGGATCTTCACGTCTCCGTCACCATGCCTTCCATTGAGGTACTTAATTTGCTCAACTAAATTGATCTGTTCTTGGAAACATTGATCTGTTCTTGGATATAAAATAGAGGGCAATGGATATAATATACATATGGTGTTTGTTAGTAATAGATTTGGATTCTTCCTTTGTTCAATTAAGAGGGAAATAACAACTTACAAGGAATATGGGCCATACAACATGTCCAGTTAATTTAAATGGTGTAAAGAATCTATGCTTTCTGGTCTTCTGTGAATAGATCAGATGGTAACAAAAATATTTATTGTAGAGCTTTGTCTTCTCCAATTAATTTTAACTGTAAAAAGAATCTTTGTTTCTTGTGACCATGCAATAGAAATAATAATTATTATTATTATTATTGCAGAGCTTTGCTTAGGGCCCATTTCCCTTTTCTTTTTTTTTTCCCCCTCTTAATAATATAGTATTCAAATTTACAAAGATGGAGAATTTTGTGATGTTTGTCAATGAATTTGTTAGAAGCTTATGCACTAAGATAGAATCATGACTTATGAGTTGATCAGTAAATTATGGCTTTTTACAAGCTGCTAACCTACCATTTTGCATTTGTAGGTGAGGACAATCTCAAGGGAGCAAGTAAGAGCACTAAGGAAAGCTGTTGACGATGTAAGTTGCAATCGTTCACTTTGAATAGTTTCTCCATGCAAACTACGTTTTCAGAGGCAACTTAAAGAAGTGTTTTAGAGAGTTTAAAGTTAAAGCTAGAAAAAAGAAAGTTTGAAGATGGGGTTATGGTTGTGCTTTCTAAATTTCCTTAGCTGATGTGAAAACTTTTAATACATTTTGATGGGTTCTTTTGAGAAAACTTGTGGTTGTGTTTACTACTTTTGTGAAAATTATTTTCATTGTGTATACTTCTTTTGTAAAAACTTGGTGTTCAGTACAGTATTATCAATTAGTAGACATGCAATTTGGATGGTATTTTCATATTTGCAGATTAACTTGTAGTTGCCTAAATCCATTAATATACATCTGGATGATAATTGTTTTTATATATATAAACATGTTTTATAAATGGGTTTCTTTAGGGAAAGAAAAAAAACCAAACCAAAACAAAATAAATAAATAAATAATAAAAATACGAAAAAAAATAAATAAATTGGTAATCACCAGCGCTTTAAAGAGCGCTGGTATAGACCAAAACAAAAAAAAATAATAATAATAAATAAATAAAAAATTGGTAAATACCCCTTTGCCAGCGCTTCTGGAGAAACGCTGGTAAAGGGTCTTTACCAGCGCTTCTGGAGCATTGGTAAAGCCCTACCGACACTGGATTTACCAGAAGCGTTGGTAATTCAATTACCCGCGCTTTTTAAGGCTTTTACCAGCGTTTTTGAGCGCTGGTAAAAGCCAAAACTGTTGTAGTGTTAAAATCGATTATCTTTAGTGGATTGATCTAAAAAAATAATAGTGATCATGTTAAAATTAACATTTAGAATCTTAAATTTTGTCATTTAAAAATAAAAAACTTAAATATATAATATAAATATAATTTTTTTTTTTTATAAACTTTACAATTTGCAATAAATTTTCACAAATATAATATATATATATATATATATATATATATATAGAGAGAGAGAGAGAGCAAAAAACGGGTATTCAAATTCAAAACAATAATAATTTTTAGGATAAACTGTAGAAAACACCCCTATAGTATGTTTGGAGTGTGTATCACATCCCTCATGTACTAAACGACACCATTTTGCTTTCTGTCCATTTTCGTTATTTCACAAAATATGTATTTTAAAATAATATTTAAAATGCGTATATAAGGGTAATTTAGGTAAATTCTGCCTTAAATGTGGCAAATTCTACCTTAAAAGCATATACAAAATAATATTGAAAAAATTTCCACACATATTTTTTTAAAAAATAAAAATGTATTATTATGATCTATATTTGCTTAGAACATTAAATATTCGCATATAGTTTTTAGTCATAACATTGGCTTGAAGATGGTTTTGTAATTTTTAATTTTTATTATTTTTATTTTTATATTGAATAAAAATATTATCAATCATTATTTTTTTTGGATGGAAATCAATCATTATTTTGGTTCTTATATTTGACATGTATTTATAATTATTGTACTATTTTATGATAGTATATACGAGTATTATTTTGTAATTTTTTTTTTTTTTTGTTTGCCCTTTGATTTGAACCATCTATATTTGTTATGTTATTTGATTTGATTTTTTTTATTTTTTTATTTTTTATAATTAAGTACACCCCCACCAAGGAAAAATCCTGGGCTCCGCCCTTGGGTACCTGTTCTCTCTTTGTAGTACTGCATGCCAATTCCTTTTCTACATTCCATACAGAAGGAGAAATAATTAACAACATGAAGCGAAAACATAATTACAATTCACTTCTTTTTTTTTTAGAATATTTCTTCTGTCATGAGGTATGCAACAAGACACACCAATAGCATACTCTCTTATTTTCACGTAACAAATAAAAAATACCCCAACTACATATAGAGGACAAAAAGAATACAATTTGGTTTGTTCCTGTCTTATTTAGTCAGCTGCTATATATTGTGATTATGAGGATCTGTGAGATTGTTATTAATGGCAGCTTCTAGGATTCAGTACTTTATTCACCACTACTATATAGCCACCCCAAAAGGAACCAAGAGCTGTTGGTATGGAGGAGGAGGAGGAGGTATAGCATGACCCACAAAGCCCTTCTGGCTGATGGTGCTACTAAAGGTGCCCTGGTTCGGCGGCTGAGGGACTGCGGGTCCCTTTGGCAGAGATTGCATCAAAAGATTTTCATTCAAGAGCCTACTAGCTTCATATGGTTTGGTGTTCAGAAGGAAAAGTAGTCCCATAATGGCTACAATAGTACTTGCAGACTTCATTTTGCTGATAAGCACGCAAAGAGAATGTAGTTGTTAATGTTGGGAAACGTGCAAGTTTTAAAAACTTTTTGAGGGATTTTAATTCATAGATCTTGATTCATCACATAGAGACAAGTTTTATGTAAAAAAAAATATATATATATGATGTATCACTCAATTAATGATTTGAATACTTACATCAAATGTCTGAGTAAACCTTTAAATCTTTCCTCTAAAGTGAATTTTCTCACTTATTGTAGATCCCCTAGCAAGATGCCTTCTCCTTGGATCTCCATCTTCTTGGTAATTGTTTTGCCTTTAGGAATCACTCATAAGCCTCCACGAATGACCTTGGAAAACTAGGCTTGTGGGAGCCTCCATTAGATGAGAACATAAACCCTAATTTTCTAGAGAGAGAAAATATATATTCATTTTTCCTTCTACTAAAAATCACACCTAAAATATACATAGACCATGTATATTTATAGGCAACATAAAGGTAAAGAAAAGGAAACAACTAATCCTTCTCAATCTCTAATTCACATGTCTCAAATTTAATATGATTCCAATATCAAGTTGGGCTATGAGTGAGAATCCATTGGGCCTATTATTTTATTGGCTACAATGAATTAATAATTGGCCCGGTCCATGGACCCAATTCAATTAATTCATAAATTAATTTCTACTCCACTAAAAGAAATTAATTGAACTCCAATTAAATAATAAATAACCTCTAAGTCAATATTGCACTTTGACCCCTCTATGCATAATTAGTTATCGGATAAATAAAGCCATCAATCCGACTACTTAATTAATATATTTATTTTGGTACCTTTGATTATTTCTGGCTCGATCACAATAAAACATTTGTTTGACAAAAATAATAATTTAAATAAATAAATATATAATAAATCATTTTGTCTAAAAATACACGAAGGCCTTCGAATTTACTTTGTGATCAACCATAATCAATACAAAATAAATACAAGTAGCAATGATGCAAATATTGAAAATATAACCCTCTAACTATTAATTACATAACTACCCAAAGTGTCGGTCTAAGGATCTCGAAGAATCCGCCGAACAAATCAAAGTAATTATTAATTAATAAAAGAGTCTATAATTTTCTCATACTTAAGAGTCAAATGCCATGACGGTGATAGGGAGCAATTGCATACAACGGCTCTCGCAATATATCTCAACCTAACGCGGATCTAGTTCAAATCTTAATTAATTATGAGTCCATCCATAATTACCGACTATGAACCATTTATGATTACTATTTATATATCATGCATTGATTGCCATCACAAACATATATATAAATATCTCTTGTAATCAAATGGACACTATCAATTCTATAATGAATCGAAATATAATACATTGAATTCACCAATTGTATAAAACATAAATATTTCATAAACGTCAGGAACATATGTCACTTTAATCTAAACAGGAATTTGCTATGCCAGGGCATATAAATCCCAACAGCTCCCACTTGCCCTCATAGCCAATTCAAATTGCACCTAACTCCAATGTTATCCAGATGATGATCAAAATTATTGATCAATAACACCTTTGATAATGGATCAACAAGGTTGTGTTCCAATGCAATGTTCTAGTCACAAGTACATTTTCCTCATAGTCAATTCAAATTGCATCTAACTCCAATGTTATCCAGGTGTTGATCAAAACTATTGATCGACGACACCTTTGTTAATGGATCAACAAAGTTGTGTTCCAATGCAATGTTCTAGCCACAAGTACATTTTCTTGCTGGACAATATCATGTAGAATATGATACTTCCTATCAGTGTATTTTGTTCATCTATGGAACCTTGGGTCATTGGTTTGGACTACTTCTGCACTATTGTCGCAATATAGCTCGATAGGCAAGCTAGTATGCTCCACAACCTCTAAATCAGTGAGATCAAACCAATAGGCTTCTTTTGCCGCCTTTAAGGCTGCAATATATTCCACCTGCAGGTTTGAGTCAGCAGTTGAAATCTGCTTAATAATCTACCAACTGATTTCCCTTCCATTAAGTGAACATACACTAAGTCATAAACCTCATAGTATCTACTTCTGATTGAAAATCAGAACTAGCATACCTGACTAGGACCATATCATCACATCCATAAATGAGTATGATATCATTGATTCTCCTTAGGTACTTAATGATATTTTTCACAACAGACTAGTTGTCAAGTCCAGTATTGGACTGATCTTTACTGACTATCCTTACTATGTAGCGAATGTCCTGTTTGGTATAGACCATGGCATATATGAGACTCTCATATGCTGAAGCATATTGTTCCAGTCTCATTTGCTCAATCTCCTTTGATAGTCTTGAAAAACTACTTACTAGAGAGAGCAATCCATATCAATAAAGCAAGAACTCATTCTTTGAGTTATGCACACCAAACCTGATAAAAACTTTTCCAATGTAGGATTATTAAGATAAGCCTATTTTATTTTTAACCTGATCTTGCAAAAGCTTGATCCTAGGAATATAGCTTACATCTTGAAAATTCTTCATTTAAAAGTAATTGAACAACTACCTCTTTATCGATGACAAAACTTCCACATCATTCTAAATGAGTAGGATGTCATATATAAATATAGAATCAGAAAAATAATGACATTCCCTTGTACACTCATGATTTATTCACAAAAAAATCTTCTGGTATCTTTTTGTAGGTTAACTTGCCTTCCATAGGAATCACCCTACTAGAAAGTTCTACAAGATCCCAGAATTTATTAGAATACATAGATTCCAACTCTGATTTTATAGTAACTCGCCAAAACGATCTGTATCCATATCGGTTCACGCTTCCGTGTAGCTTACTGGGTCCAACTCATGTTTAATAGGGATATCCATAATGGTCTCACTTAAAAACATGATTCTGTCGGATTGGATGATAATCCTCCCACTACATTAATGTACCGATGCAGGAATCTGTGTATAAGATGATGCTGACGCATCAATAGAGAATTCATTTATTATTCTCAATCTCTATAATAAGTGTGTTCAAATGTGGGACATCTGATACTCATACCATATTCTCTAACATTATGCTACTAGGTATGTAATTCATAATATGATCCTCCTATAGATAAACAGTGAGTGTAAACAATCAACTTTTATCATTGAGATCATAAAATAATCCATCCTAGTGATTTAAGAGTAGCTATCAAATCTAGCATGCCTATGATTTGCTTCCAACTTACTTGTCCATATCAAACGCACATGTGCAAAACTACCCCATACGTGCATGTGATTCAAACTAAGATTTAGTCAAAAACACAGCTCAACGGTATCCTTGAGACAGACTAAGATGGAATGCAGTTCATAATGCGCATCGATGTCATTAACGCTAAACTCTTAAATGAAAGAGATAATGTGGCATAACTGATCATAGATCTAACCATGTTAAGTGGAATTCTGTTATTCCTATTTGACACCTAAATGCATTTAGCGTCAATTGCGGAAAACTGGTACATAATACCCTCATTGACCATATAGTCTTTGTACTATCCCAAGAAATACTCATATCCTCGATC